CCCCCCCCTCTCCCGGCTCAGACCCCCGACTCAACCCTTCTGTATTCACCGGTACTGAACTTGTATTCTCCACCATCGCCGCACCCCCCTTCCTCCACTGATGGAGTCACTCACCCCCATCACCTTATTCTTTCTTTTTTTTTTAATCACCTTATTCTTTCTTTTCTTTTCTGTTTTCTCTTTTCTTTCCCTTTTCTTTTTTTTTTTTTCTAACAAGGAATTGACTCCTGGCCAAGCAAAGGATCACTCACAGCGAGTTGGGATCGGGTGTAATGGGGTGGGAGGAGCCGGAAGTGGGGACTGTGTCTCTCTGAGATGTACGTCACTGTTTTTTTTTGTTCTGGGAGGGTGGGACCCGACGTCCTGCACCCCACTAATAGATCGGAGTCTTCGCACAAGGGGCTCAAAAAAAGAAAAAAAGGGAAAAAAAAAATAAAGGAACAAAGTTCAATAAACTAATGGCATAGTAGCAGTGCACTGTAGCACCAAACATCAGTACATTCCCACTACCCTCCCTCTCCCCCTCCCCCTCTCCCCCTCCCCCCCCCCGACAGTGGGGCATGGCACACACGTCATGTCTCCGACATGGCTGGCACAGAAAACGACGGCGTAATGACAGGCCGCTGGCTACACGCACTTTACCAGAAGGGACACTACCGTCTTCCCCCGAACATAACGCACCCTAAAAACGAATGTATACAAGCTATATTTCCGGCCAGATGCAGTCAAAATAAGGGTGCGTTGTGTTCGGGGGAAGACGGTAGTACACAGGACGCGGAGCAAAGGGAGGACCGAAGTGGGGGAGGGGGGGAAGGGAGAGAGAGGGAGTGTAGAGGTGGTTTTAAGGCTACACTGCCGCTTCAGTGAAGCCGATGATACTCACACTGAAATTCGTCATACCAGACCCCATAGTTGTTGACGAAGGGCACATCGGGACCAATGAGCCCTACACTCAGTCCCTCTTTGCCTGCCTCTGCCGCAAGTGCCAAACCTGCTGGCCCACACCCCACGACCACCAGGTCCAGCAACTTCAAGCTTGGCTCCACCAGGGCCTGCAGCTGTCAATCCACAACACAACATGGATAAAACACACAAAAAAAAAGTCGCTTCCTTCCTTCCCTCCCTCCCTCCTTCCTTCCTCAAGTCATCCATTCACTCCATGACTCATTCATCCACTCATTGGTCCGTCATTCAGTCAGTCATTTGTTCATTTCTTCATTTGTTCATTCAGTCGTGCATTCATTCACACTTTTCATTTGTTCATTTGTGCATTTGTTCATTTGCTCATTTGTTCACTTGCTAGCTTGTTTAATTGTTCATTTGCTCATTTGTTCAGTCATTTATTCAGTCGTTCATTCATTCACTTGTTCATCGATTCGTTCATTCATTTGTTCCGTCATTCATTTGTTAATTGATTTGTGTCAGTCATGCATTTCTCCCCTCACTCGTTCATGCGTGCATGCATGCATGCATGCACCCATGCATTCTTGGAAGTGATAAACTCGTCTACAGGTCAAGAGCAACAGTGAACTAGCAGTTGAAGAGGGGGAGGGGGTGGCGGAGGAGGAGAGAAGCAGGGGGAAGGAAAAGAAAAGGGAGAGGAGGAGGAGGAGGCGGAGGTGGAAAATGGGAGGGGATGGAAACGGAGAAGGCGGAGGAGGAGGAAACACGAACGAGAAGAAGTTGAAGGACGAGGAGAAGGAGGAGGAGGAAGAGGAAAAGGAGTAAGTCATGCAGAGAAGTTGGTGAGTAACTTTGGATTTGTGTGTTAGTTTCTGAGTTAGAAAAAGCACAGACGACAACGAAAAAGCCTTCAGTCTACATTGTGAATTGGTTACCTGCCTTGCTTAAAGAACTCGAATCCTCCGCTGGCGGACCAATCTTATCTCCTCTGCCCCATTCCTTGCGGCCCCTTCTTTTTCTTTGTATCTATGAGAGTGATTTCTCTGTCGTGTTTGTGTAAGAGAGAGACAGCAAGAGAGAGAGAGAGAGAGAGAGAGAGAGAGAGAGAGACCAAAAGACAAAAAGAGAGAGAGAGAGAGAGACAGAAAGAGAGAGAGAGAGAGAGGGAGAGAGGAAGATGTGAAGCACTTGTCCCCGACAGAGAGACCAAGTGAGAGAAAGACAAAAAGAGAGAAAAAACAAGAGAGAGA